TTTACAAAGCTCTTGGCAACTGGTCTCTTTCTAATTCTCTGACATCACCTGGCACCTTTCTGCCCCAGTGTGATTTCTTGGTTCCCCTTCTTTCAAATTGAGATCCTGGTGGCCTGAATACTTACCATTCCCCAAACAACCATGCCCTAATTCACCCTTTTGGTCTTTGCACATGCTGTTTTCTCTGCCTGCAGTATTGGCCATTTTATTCTGCAATGGCTTTCCACATTTGCAACACCCCACACATTGCACTCCAATGAGCTAGTTGCTTGTCTTTGTATTTGGAATATTTGGATACTCTGCGAGGAAAATGGCTGTGGATGTCTATCTTGGCCACCACTCTTATCAGTGTTTTAGTCCAATGAATTGTGCATAATAATGCTCAATAAACAATTGTTCAAAAATATTTGAGTAAATGAATACTTTCATAAGTTAACAAATGTGTTTTTGTGGTATAAAGTGGTGTATATATGGAAAAAACTATTTCTAATATGATTTTAACAAGCTGACACCCAGACGTTGTCTAAGAGACTTGGTCACCATCTCTGCAGCCTCTGGGAAAAATTCTGTTTGGAGTGCCAAAGATTAAAGAGGGAAATAAAAACATTCAGCTAAGCATGTAGCCCAGGCTGGAATATACATGTTTCAGCCTCAGAAAAATATGGAGATAACAAACTTCCCACTCCCAGGGTAGTCTGTGGCTCGGCTGCATGTCAAGAAGAAAGAAAACAGAGCATCTCAAAAACTGTGGTCCTTCACTGCCTTCAAATCCCCCTCATTTTGTCCCTAGGCATGGAGCCCAGGTTTCTAAACTCCACAGATCTCTGCATTCCATCAAGACCCCTGTGGGGAGAGCCCAGGTACCAGGTAGCAGCAGGGGCAAGTTAGTCAGTGATGTCACTCTGTTTTCTACTCAGGGGCTCTGGGCAAGTGGCAAGTTCAAGTTCTGAATGAAACCTCTGTTAATTTCCCCATCTGTAAAACAGAGTGGATTAGACCAATTGCTTTTACATCATGCTCTTTGGAACCCTAAAGCTCTGAAGAAAATAGAATTGAGCTACTAGGAATTGGGCTACCCCACCCCTCTTGATTAGAGAAGCTCTTTTGACTTGGCATTTCAAATAAATTTTGCACTTGAAGAATGGATTCTGCGGCCCAAATTTCTGAGAATGTTTGACTGATTCAGTTACATCTGAGGCAGCCCCTCAAGGATATAAAACCCAGTGAAGGAGAAGGTAGATATCAAAATTGGATATAGGGGCTGGGCATGGTGGCTCATGCCTGTAATCCCAGCACCTTGAGGGGCCTAGGCAGGTGGACCACTGAAGGTCAGGAGTTTGAGACCAGCCTGGCCAACATGACAAAACCTTGTCTCTATTAAAAATACAAAAATTAGCCAGCCATGGTGGCAGGTACCTGTAATCCCAGCTACTCGGGACGCTGAGGCAGGAGAATTGCTTGAACCTGGGAGGCAGAGGTTGTAGTGAGCCAAGACTGTGCCACAGCACAGTCTGGGCAACCGAGCAAGACTCTCCGTCTCAAAAAAAAAAAAAAAAAAAAAAAAAAAAAAAGTGGCAGGAGTTCATTGTCAGCACATGGAATATCTTTGGGTAAAGCAAATTAAAAACTAGTCTAGCTCTGTTTGGGGTAGAATGGGGTTCCTCAGGGGATAAACTCCATTCTTTTGGCTGCTTCTTCACTGGCTTCTCCATCACATCTCTTAGTGTTCCATCATGGCACTCAGTTAGCAACAGGCTCAGACAGCTCATCTCGTCTTCATCTTGGTAATCATTATCCTCATTGCTCAGATGAGGAGTCATGAGGCTTAAAGGTTAAGTGGCTTGTCAATGATCACAGGGCTATAAAGCAGAATAGCAGAACTGGAAACTAGGACTCCTACCTACTCATACTTCCACAATGCCAACACACATTGCTTCCCTGCTCTACATTTTGTATTATAAAACTGTTGTATTTTAAGGAAACTTTGCTAACCTTTTCCCTTTGCCATTTCCCCTGTATACCAGTTTTATAGTACAAAAGGTATTATAGGGCCAATTTTTGTGGCCCTATAATGCCAATTATAGGGGGATAACTTTTGTGGCTGAAGTTAAATGGTGTCTTATTCTCCTTCCCCCAATTGCTCTGGAAAAATGTCTTCTTTCTATGGAGAAATTTTGTGGATGACTCTTTTAAAACTTTTTTATACTGAGATATAATATACATACAGAAAAGTAAGTAAACTTTTAAGTGCTTGGTGAATTTTCATAAGCTGAACAGACTTGTGTAAACAGCACCCAAATTGAGAAAGAGAACATTACCAGCACCGCATGGTAACACAGCATGTTAGAGGCTATGATCCCAGATCTCACCTAATTCTATTCTGACCCCTTTCCCAAAGCCTTCCTCTCTCATCTTGAGACCCTATGACAAAATCACTGAGGAGTCATCAAAAACATTGTTTGAATTTCCAAACCTACAAACCTGATCACATGGTCTTAGGTTTCTATATTTTCCTGATAGCTGGTCCTAGAAAATAGCCAGATTTTCCTGTTTCAATATTTTATTGTTTAAAAGTGAAATCTAATGTGAATTTTACTTCCTGCTCAATTTTTCTATAAACTAAAAACTTATTTAAAAAATAAGTTTTTAATTAAATACCCAGTCTATTAATTAAAAGAAAAAAACACATCTAAAATTAATCAATTAGTCAACTTCTTCACACTGCCACTGGAGGGACCTTTCTCAACCACAAATCTGACCATGTAAATTTTGTTCAGGAGCTCTGCATTGCTGTTAAGATAGAGCCCCAAATCCTTTTTATGGCTCTTGGTGACTTATCCATCCTCTAGTTGGGCCACTGTTACCCTTTCTACTGTCTAAACACATTGGCACTTTTTTCAGTTCTTTGAAAGTGTCACGCTTTTTCTTACTTAGAAGGATGCACCTGCTGGTCCCATTTGCTTAAACACACCATTTGCTTTTTCTCATTGCCAATTCCTTCTGTCTCTGAAAAGGTCAGTGACTTGCCCAAGTCACAGGGCAGATGGTACTTGAACTTGGTTTCCCCCATTGCTAACCCATGCTTCTGTATGGCACCGCTATTTCTCACCTCAAACATCATTCCTTTAGAGTTTAAAGCAAAGAAGCAAGGGTTCTCATGGGTTGAAGGTTAGAGAATCTCTGCTTTTGTCCAAACTTTTTATTTCTGGTGTTAAAGGTTAAGAACTGAATAGATTTACTAATGCCAGTGCAGCATAATAGAATGCTCTCCTCCAAATTTTTTAAACTTAAACATTAATTTTTTTGGATAGACAAACTCTAGAACTTACGTTATAAATATAAATGAATCAAAATACTGAATATTTCTGCCTTCTTTGAAGTGAGAAAGAAATAATTTCCCATTTGACAGATTAATAAAGTCCAATGAACTCTCCATTACTCTGTCTGTGTGTGTGTGTGTGTGTGTGTGTGTGTGTGTGTGTGTGTGTGTGTGTGTGTGTTTAGGGCTGGAGAAAGAAGGAAGAAGATACTGGATTTAAGATCTTTCATCTTGCAGTAGGAAGCTCTTTTCCCCATGAATTTCTGTCTCTTCAGACAAAACCAAGGAATATAAAAAGCCACATTAAAACTCTCATCTTTTAATCTTTCTGTTTGAGAAATATTGGCCTCTTTTCAGGAGCTGATTGTCTAAATGTTGTTTCAATCTTCACGTTGAATAGAACTGTGTAAAACATTTTTCTTTTGTCAATTATTTTACTTTGAAAATAACCAGTTATCTGGAAGAATTTAGAAATGACTTTTTTTTTTCTTTTTTAGTAGTCTCCCTCATGTTTCTCCACGAGTTATATTTTTAGAGTCCGAAAAAAGCCACCCCACTATGAGTAGTTCTTGACTTCCCTATCCCTGCCCTTCTATATAATTCACATTGATGTTCCCACACAGCCTTTTTGTGAAAAATTCAAAATGTAGTTATCAGCAGATAAACACATATTTTGACCTGCCTTATGCTGTTACTGCCAGCTAGCAGCTCAGTGGACAGTGCCAATAAATTCACTCCATAAAATGCCTGTGCAAGCTCTTGAATGATTTATGCATTTTGTTTTTATTATCTTATAAAATAAGTAGATATCACAAAAATTAGTGTATTATTACTTGTCGTAGCCTGATCTCATAGTACTCATAACAAGAGATAATATAATGTGTCCAGCACTGTTCTAAACACTTTGCATATTTGTCTCATTTAATTCTAGCAAAAATCTTATGAGATACTTTTATTATTTTCGTATCACTTACGGGAAAACTAAATCTTAAAGCCATTAAATAATTTTCCAAAAATCACATAGCTACTATCTGGTGATAAGATGAACAATGAGATACACTAGACAGATTGAAAGCAGCCACATTTCCGTTTCAGCTGCAGGCTCATTTTCACATATAAAAAAATTATATATATGTGTGTGTGGAGATATATATATATATATGCCTGCATATGCATATGTGTGTGTGTATATATATATGATATTGTAATACCAGAAGAGTAAGAAAGAGTTACTCTTAAAAGATAGAACTCCACAAGAATGAACAATTTATCCCACATTTTGCCTTAGACAAATGAAAACTTAGTTATGAACTAGCTCTGATCCACAGCTTAGCACTTGGGAACCACTACACTGGTTTGTGTCTTTGGACCATACCAGCATTTACATCTGGAAGTATATTATTAAAGGCTGTGTGCAAAAGGTGGTATGTAACCAAGAGTGACACATGCTTTAGCTTCCCAGAACTTTCTTATAACATGTAAGAAAGTTTTTCAATTTTTGCATACACAAAATTAGATGCTTTCAGGAATTAATTTTTGTAGAGGAATAGATGTATATTGGATAAAATCTTGTGCTGTCATTGATTGTCCAGTTCCAGGCCCGAGGGCTCTCTCCATGTTAGTGTGTATATATGACAGCCCTTTATCATTCTGCAAGAGACAAAAACCACACAACAACACATTGAAGCATACAAGCTATTATATATTTTCATAATATAGAACTTTAAAGTATAGTAATCAACAGTGGCAAAATATTTCTGTCTCTGACATTATTATTTGTGAGATCCAACCTGTAATTGAGATAAGAGAAAACAGTATGGAAAAACAAATCCACAAGAACAGGATAAAAATATCATGAACAGTAAAATATGTCTAAGTATTTAAAACTGTATAGAAAAAATAAATTAGATGAACAATTGTGTAAATATAAATTAAAAAAAGATGACATTCTTAATAAATAAAGTTTACTATTTACATTTTTATATATTGCCAAAAGATTTAACTTAGATCCATAAAAACACATAAACAGAAAAAAAAAACAAACATAGGAGCAGCAAATTTATGCGCGTGAGGTACAGAGAAAGGATTGGAATTGTGTTTAGTTTTTGGTGTTTAGATTGTTTTCTTTGTGTCTTTTTTCTTTTTCTTTTTTTTTTTTTTCTTTTTTACCATAGGCCAGTAGAATTCTTATGAGAACAGCTTTTAAGCACTTCAATGGAGTGTCATTTTTTTGGTAGCTTCCAGAAGGTGCCAAACAGGTTTCAACATCATATTAATTAGAAATACCCATAATAATTATAACAATAATAAAAAGGTATAATATGATACATAAATATGGAAGAGCAGTTTGTAATATGAATACATTTTCTCTAGACGAGATCACAGTTTTATTTTGTAAATATTACATTTAAGTATATATATACACACATATATGTACAACTATATATACATGTGCATATATATGTAAATTTATATTTATATATAATATCTTTATATAGATAGATATCTGCAGACAGGTTATTGATTATAGAGACCCAAGAAAGCAACTCAATAATTGTTCAAAGGTTTCCTCACTGACTGCTGGTGTGTAGTTTAAGAAGCCCCCATTTGTTTGCACTCAGAATGCCTTATCTTCTTTTAATGGAACACTTGATGTGGAATTTTAAGTCTGAGAAGTGAGGTGCCTTCTGAAGAAGAGATTTTAGAGACTCCCTTCCTCTATAAGTTAAAAATGACCGGAAGTCTTAAGTAGACAACAGTTAGCTGACTTTGACATTGTAGGACATAATCAGCTTTAAACCAAATCATAAAACTGGTAAAGGGTAAGATCAAATCTGCCAAAACAATAAAATATTCTCCAATACAGGTCTCTCTTTTAAGATGGACTACAATTCAGGAGCTCCGGCTTTATTCCTTGAAATATCAAACAAGCACTCCTTGTCTTTCTGAAAAGGCCAATGGGCCTGTGCATTCTTGAATAATAATCCATGGACTTTGTGTCAAGCGTTGGCCCTCACAGCCCACCTAAAACCTCAGGGCCTCAAAATCTCCTGCCCTCCCACTCTGAGGTAGGTATATAGTATTATCCCCATTTTGCAGCTAGAGAAACTGATGCAAATGTAGAGGCAACTGGATAACTTGTTAAAGATCACTGAGCAAACTGCTGCCTGGAGTCAAAAATTCTAAGTTCTTTACAATAGGGACATAATTTCTCTTTTGGCTATTATACATTTCTTTTAAAAAGCAAGTGATTCATAGGAATTGGCAAAAGTTGAATAAATTACAAGAACAAGCTTTTATTCATTTGCTATTTGGTTTTTATGTTTGTTGTTTACTTCGTTTGCTTTGTTTCTCAAAACTCACTGGGATTACCTGTCTGGTCATGTAGCAGCTTTTTAAAAAACTGGACTGTGCAGTGTGGTTCTGAGTGCAGTCTTTATAAAGCCCAGTGCTGTACTGGTAAATATAAACATTTTATAACGTGAAAAGCACAACGACACAATATGTCCCCTTAATATCTGGAAAAAACAATATCAAGCCCTCCCACTCCCTACTACCACTGATTGCCACCAAACAAATAAACAAAATGCCCACCCCCCCAACAACAACAATAACACATCAAGGGAGAAAATGCCATATTTCCTGGACCTACCACAATGTACAGAAAATAACAGACAGTGTTATCAAATCCCACTCTATGTCTTCTAGGGAAATGTTTATGTTTGTGTCTACCTACTGAGTCTGTAGAATAAACAATTTCCTTTAGGAAACATAAAAATAGGTTTTTTATTCTTATTTTTTAATCATGCATTTTTATTTCCTTTTAATCTCTTTGTCTTCTATTAATCTCTATCTGTACAGCTTTGTCACCATTTTTTTTATTTTCTCACTTGAAGTAGTTCCAGAAAAAAACACAAAACCTCAAAACTGTTAACTTGACCTTATAATTTCCTTCCTTCCTTCCTTCCTTTTTTTTCTTCCTTCCTTTTCTTTCCTTCCTTTTCTTTCCTTCTTTCTTTCTTTCTTTCTTTCTTTCTTTCTTTCTTTCTTTCTTTCTTTCTTTCTTTCTTTCTTTCTTTCTTTCCTTTCTTTCTTTCCTTTCTTTCTTTCACACAGGTAACACCTATAACAAATTGACAATTGCAACCAAGTTAAATCGAACCTGGAAGGGAGGTAGCTGAAATGTGTCTCAAAGAATTATTTTCAACAAATAGCATTTAAGCATTGGCCAAGGTGGGAATAAGACCAAGAGAACCGTCTAGGCAGTGACTCAATGTGTTGAAGCCAGGAGTGGCAGCTGATACCCTACATTTTCAAAGCCCTACCATCTATGACCATTAATCTTTCCCTTCCTTGACACCCCAATTCACCATTGAAACTGATTTCCCAAAGACTGTATTTCCTTAAAAGGTTATTGGCACAGAATCGGGGGGGGCAATGCAAATCTTTTGGGTAGGTAGTTAACATTGTGACTTGGAAAAGGTTCCCTAAATAGGGCTTAGAGAACTGTCCACCTCATCTTTTCTTTTTTACTGCTAACAATCTAATACTTCAAATGCAGAACCTTCAGTGTTTTAGGGCCTTTGAGCTGCTGATACACAATAGTGCATCAGAGCTGCCTCTCAGTGCTCTGGTCACCTAAACAGAAGATGACTGAAGGAATGAAACGATGAGTTAATTCCCAGGAGGAAAATGAAACTGGGAATAAATACATTGCTCAAATTGAGCTGACACTCCTCCACTAAGGTTTGAAAAGACCCTATTAATGATACTTTCCACGTGGGCATGAGGTTGGCCACCAATCAAGTAGCCTCTTTTGCCTAATATCCTTGGCAAATATATGTTTGTTAGCAACAGGTCTGAATGAAAGAGACTGAGTGGGTCTTAATTCAGAAGAGCTGAATTCACTCTGTGAGTCTGAAGATACAAGTCAGCCTCCAGGAATCTTTGCTTAGCTGGATAGTGTGGGGATAGATGATGATGGGAGTGAAGATAGAAAGAGGATAAGGACTGATTTGAGGGAAGCTGGTAAGGTTCTTTTGTGGCTCCTGAAATCACATCATTAGTAATGTCATCTTTGGGTCTTCAAAGTTTTTTGTATTACCTATGGGTATAATTAAGCAACTGGGAGGGTTGATACTGTTACCTTTCTTAGCTTGTATCTTCTAAGTTAACATCACACAGGCTAATAACTCAGCTAGGGCAAGAGAGAGGCCTGGAGAGTTGGCAAGAGTGCGAAGATACTGGAGAGGGGTTCAGAATAGGATCGATTCTTCTAATATTATTCTTATTTCTTGCTAATAATTGGTCCTTATAATTACAGTGAAGTAATGGTCTGGATATAAATGAGATATGGTTTTGTGAGGAAGAAGCATAGAGGATTATTCTTAACAACTGTGGCAGTCTTGCCAATATGGAACCCAATTTCAGAGTTTGTGAAATGGTATAAGTCTCATAAACTATCTCAGCACTGCATCCGTATTTGTGGGCACCTGTGCCAAAAGCACCTTGATATGTTTCTTTTTTTTTTTTTTTTTTTTTTTTTGAGACGGATTCTCGCTCTGTCACCCAGGCTAGAGTGCAGTGGCACTATCTCGGCTCACTGCAAGCTCTGCCTCCTATTTCAGGCCATTCTCCTGCCTCAGCCTCCCAAGTAGCTGAGACTACAGGCGCCCGCTACCACGCCCGGCTAATTTTTTTTGTATTTTTAGTAGAGACAGGGTTTCACTGTGTTAGCCAGGATGGTCTCGATCTCCTGACCTCGTGATCCGCCTGCCTCGGCCTCCCAAAGTGCTGGGATTACAGGCGTGAGCCACCGCGCTCGGCGATATGTTTCTTAATGTAATTGGCCAGAGATGGCCAATAGATGTCTTCTCAAGTGTTTTTGATCACCAGTTAAGTGCTACTGGGAGTGATATAATATGGTGGTTCCTAAAGTTATTTTTGGTCCCATTTTTTTTTCTTGAAAAAAGACTATGATAGATTAACAACACCTGCCTTGGATGCAGGAGTTAGGTGAGGCTGCACATGTGCGTGATATTTTCTATCCCTATGCTAGGTTTTGTTTCTGTTGGCTGTCTTCACTAGACTTGAGATGACTTGATTTACAGTAATCCCTATGTGATATAACTAGTCTAGACCTTCCCTTCACCTCAATTCCCAGCTCCAGGTTTCAGAAAGCATGTCACACTCAACCTTTCTCTCCAGTTCATCCTGTATTAATTTCTTCCCATATTAATTCAAAGGGAGTGGACAAGTACCTGGCTGAAAAGAAACAAAGAGATCCCCAAAGTGGTGGGGGCTTCGACATACAATTGGCTAATTTTCACTTAACTTTTGAAGGCTAGACATGGGAGAGAGAAAAGCATTGCCCAGTCACAGGTATGGAAGGGAGTACTGGTAGCTGGAAAAACCATATAGAAAACACGATGACCATGTTGAGTTGTTGGTGCTGAGGCTGTGAACTCTTTGGCTTCCGATGGCCCTCTCGAGAACAATGTATACTATTCTTATAAAAGATTCTTTCTCCCAGAATTATATCTCCTCAGAGCAACAGCGAAGTTCTCAGGACCAAAGCCTACTCTAGCCTGAAGGGCTAGGAAGATTAGGATAAGGATAATAATCCAAGAGTCTCAACAATTCCAATAGTCTCTGGATGGCTCCAACATCATAGAAATTTAACACTGTTCCACTTGTTTACAAAATCTAACACTGGCTTAGACATTCTGGACTTTCAGTGAGGGTTCCAGCATCTGATGTCCCTCAACTCCTTTCCAGGGTGAGAGGCCCACTTACAGGAAACTTAACTTCTCACCATGTGGACCCATAAGGGTTTTTCTCTTGCAGAAGGGCTAAAAAGTGAGGAGCTATGGAAAAATGTGGGTCACTTTTAAGGCAGACTGTTTGGTTGTGTGGGATTTTTTCTAACCTAGTTCTACCATCTTGGATTATTCAATGTATAGGATAGAGCAGCAGGAAAAGTAGCAGCAAATGTGGTCCCAAGGCAAGTTTTGAGGGAACAGGTAAGTCCTAGAGGGATATTATTACCTCAAGCCTCAAGCAAGGGGCTGACATAATACCTTGACATTGCAATCCTAAGCCATTCTCAGATTGGCCTCGAACCCTGGAGTTGGGGTAAAATCCCCCATGCCAGCAGAAGAATTGGGGCGCTTTGCATACCTTATAATCTTTACCTCTTCCTAGCTCCTAGTTCCCTAGAAGATAGGTGATCACAGACTATTTCACTGCCAATCCCAAAGGACTGTACAATTGTGCATGTCCTACATATTCCGAGCCTCAGGGTGTGAACTATCTTGACATCTCCACACTTGGTCTTAGCAGTTTCTGCAAATTTCTTTCTCCCAAGGATAGTTGGCTAGGAGCTTGGGAAAGAAAAGATTGAGTTTATTCCAGTCTCTCTCTGCTCATCTCCAGAACTGCCCTCACACAGATGTTTGTATGGGTGTGTATGCATGCATGTGTACTAACCACAGATGGGCACACTCTAGATATAGAACATGTTTCTTGCTGTGGTTGTGTGACAAATGGCTAGAATTTTAGGAGGCTCTGGGACTGCACACTGTATATGCAATCCATCTCAGACTTTGGGATGGGAATCCATTTCATCATCCAGCATGGCGAAACTTGGTTCATTCACCCCACTGTGAGTCCTTCCTGGGTAAAATTAAAGGCAGACCGGTTGGGTGCTAAGGATCCCTGGTGTGGAGAGGCCATTCCATTGAGCAGCTGACTGTGAAATCAATACCAAAGGGATGCGGGTCCTGGCGTTGGGAATTCTTTGACAACTCCTTGTCCTTCCTTAGCGATGGCTGTATCCCCGGAGGTCTTTCCGGCTGTGTTCTTGGGCCTGGGGGTCCCGACAAGCACAGTCACCTTGTAGGTCACAGGACATAGGGAATGGGGTGACCTGCAGAAAGAGAGAAGAAGCGAATCAGGTGGTTTGGTCTGAAGCAGTAATGATCAGGAAGGCAGTGGGGGGCAGTGATACAATCACTGGATTTGTGGAGCAGAAGGTTCAAGTTCAAGTCATGGCTCTGCTTCTTGCTATATCCTGGTGATAACTTTTATCTAGAGCACCATGATCATAATCACAGCAGTTTTCATTTACAGAGGCACTTGCTATGGGTCAGGCATTTGCTATGGGGTAAGGCAATGTACTCAGTGATTTCCAAACAAGAAAACACTTTTGACAACTCTGTAAGATAGATGCTGCAACAATCACCCTTTTATTGATGGGGAAACTGAAGCTCAGAAAGGAATAAGAATTTGCCAAAAGTAATAATAAGTGTCAAGTCTGGTATTTAAAGTAAAACAAGCTACTTATCTCTGAGCCTCAGGTCCCTATGTAGAGCTGATATAATAAGACCCACTTTGTACTGTAAACTATAGGAGCTGAGTAAAATCATGGGTGGAAAATTGTAGTGCACTATAGCAAAGTTGGTTAATAGAATTGTGTAATGGAATATCTGATGTATACGTGATCAAGTGAAAGAAAGGATGTGGAAGTGTCCTCTGAGAAACCATAAGTCTCTGCACATATTAGTCACTTTGATTTTAGTAGGCAATGATGAAAACAAAAAGCATGTCTCAGGGAAGCTAGACCACCTTCTGGGAGGCTTGGAATCCTGAGTAGGGAATAGATCGTATGGAGGTTTCGCACAAAATTTGAAGGACCTGGGAAGCAGATTTTAGCATACGAAAAAGTGAGAGGACTGAGTTCAATCCAGTTTCCAGTTCGTTCTTTCATGTGTTCTGTGACCTTGGCCAGCTTTCCTTTCTGAAAACTGATAGGAAGAGCCCAACAGAGCGAGTGTCTTCCCCATCCAGCAGATAATCTATCTTTCCAAAGAGCACAGTGCAGTCCCTGCTTGAGTCCCCGCCTGAACTAACGCAAGTAGATTTCACCTCATTGCATCATGACATTTGCATATCACTTTCCCCAGAGAGTCTCCAATCTGCGCAGATGGATTTAATGACCTCATTTGCCTCCTGCCTGGACAGGGTCTCCAAGTGGTCACGTAGTCTCAGAGAGAATCTTTGTTTCTATCCCTCTCTCTCATGTACTTGTGTACTCATTCTCAATGTCTAGCTCTTCTTTTTTCTCTGCCTCTTTGACCACTTTCCCTCCCTCCCAACCTCTCTCCGTCCTGAAATTTTGCAGTAATTTAAAACGTAGAATGGAACATCAGGAAGATTTAAGTATACACCCCAGCTTGAGACGTGACCTTGAACATATGAGAACATCTACTTGAGACGTGACCTTGAACATGTGACAATTTCTCTGGGTCTCAATGAACTCATTCATTTAATGGGAAAAATAAAAGTGTAGACCTCCTGAGGTTGTGATAAGGAATACATGAAATAACTCACGAAAACACCTCACACAGTGCTTGACATATGCTAAGTGCTCAATTATTCTCTCTCTTTCTCTCTCCCGCTCCCTCTCCTTTATTTTTTTGGTCTATCCTCCCACCACTTCTGTGGCCCATAAGGCAGAGACCAGGTCAATCATGTTTATTTCTGTTTTCACAGGGCCTAAGCCACAGAATGAATAAATTTCTATGCATTGCTCTATCTCTCTCTGACTCTTTGTACTTATGGCTACCACAAGTCTTTGTTTCTCTTTTCAGTTTAAATTCCTAAGTGCTTGATGCTGTGGTAAGCATTTCCACAGTCCCTTTTTCCAAGCAGCACCTCTCTTGCTCACAGCTACTTGCTGTTCTCTGTTTAGGACATTTACTTTCCAGCCTCTCTGACTCTGTGGAATACATCTAGGATATTCCATCTAGAATCTAGAATATTTGCTCCTATTCATTTTACCTTGAAGAGAAGCACAGAATGTTAGAACTGGAAGTGTCATAGAGAGAAAACCCTCCAGTCCAAATAGGGAAACTAAGGGGAAAGCCAAGTCAAAATCCAACCAGTGGGGTAGAATGTGGACAGTACTATCATGAAAGCCAAAAGGTTCGGGTTGGGATCCTTGTTTGCTTCACAGTCGCTGAACGATTTTGGGAAAAAATCCCTCCACTGTCATGATCTTAGGTTCTACATCTATGAAAGGAGGATTTTTAAAATACCATATTTCATATCGCATTTTTTTGTGAGGATCAAGCAAGAAGAAACATGCAAAAGTCCCAGCACATGACCTAACACCTTTGAGATGCTCAGTGCCGAATACATATATGCTGAATCAAATTTCTCACTCACTCATATTTCACCATCTTTCCTGCCTATTGTCCCCCACCTCCCACCTTCCACACTTGAACAATCTCCTTGTCCTTAACTCCCCCATGCTTTATCCATCCCTGTCTCCTACCCTTGCTCTCATTCTATCATTAGCACGATCCAGTTACCTCTAATGTCTTCTCTAAAATTCTCTCTGTAACACTTTCCCATTGAGTTCAAACACCCATTAGGGATGGTTTCATGTCTGCTTTATCTTTTGTGCTTTCTGCTGCACCTCACTCAAGGCAAATATTCAAAAAATTATATGTCTTAGAATAAAATCCAAAGTCCTTACCACAAGTTCAAGGCCTTGCATGATCTGATTTCTATATAATTCTCAGATCTTACATGGTTCCCTTCTCCTCCTCACTCTCATTGGCTTCTTTATTTATCGGTTCCTCATATACTCTGTTTTCCTACTTTTGTGTCTTTAGCCACTAATGGTCCTCCACTCTGACTGCCCTTCCCTGGCCAGCTCTTTTTCATTGTCCAGGTCTTTTCTCAAGTATCACTACCTCCCTCAGTAGTCTGACCAAAGATATTAGGTTGGTGCAAAAATAATTGTGGTTTTTGCCATTGAAAGTAATGGCAAAAATGGCAATTACTTTTGCACCAATCTAATAGCACCATCGCCTTCATACCATATCACAGCATCTTATTTTTACACCCTTCTAATACTGAATTACTTCTTTACTTCGATGTCAGCTCCCTCTGGGCAGGGACCATGACTGTTGTTGAACTGAGTCTTTATGCATTCAATGACCCATGAATGAATGAGCAAATGAATGCATTAATATGCAGGCAGAATACAAATCAGGGACCCTCCACTCTTGCAGTTGGCTGCTGGGTGACTTTAGAGAAGTTACTTCCCTTCTCTGAGCTTCAGTTTCCCTACCTATAACAAGAGTTGATTTTCATAGCTTCTAACTTCCCATCTGGCTGAAAATCCTTCTCAGTCTGAGAAAGGTAGAAGGCAAAGACCTGGCCAGAAAGGAAGTTGAAACATAGAATTTCTTCACAAATCCTGTCTTGAATGCTTCCCTTCCTGCCCTCCCCAGTTCAATCAGCTTCTCCAAAATTGTTGGCTGGCAAGGCCTTGCCACCAGTTAGCTTCTCAGGCCTGTCTCAGCACTCTGGCTATGCTGGAGTGGTATCACCTTTTTCTTCCTTCCCCAGGCCAGTCTGGGCAGTTTAAGCACTTCCCAAATAAACACCGAAGGAAACTCAATCAGAATATGACAAAGCCTAGGAGGGTTGGTCTCAGGAGGCCTATCCAGAGCCTCCTTGTCTCCACTACATGCTTGTAAGTAGTATGTTGTAGACTTTACACAGAAACTGTATGACTTTCAGCAAGTCCCTGGCATCTTCAGCCTCCCCATCTGTAAGACAAGAGTCTTTATCAAGACCTTGCAGGGCTCTGGTGAGGAGTCAGTGAAGTCATGTCAGGTTCAACCTAGCTCTCAGAGTGCCCAATGTAGAGGAGACACATGGTGTTTTCTTCCCTCCTGTTGCCTCTTTGTGAACTGCCTGTTCAGAGCATTGTCTGTTACAAGCTTCCTCACTGATCACAGATATAAAGCTGAGAAGAAAAGGGTAGAGATTTTCAGGTATTCCTAGGTCTAACCTGGAAAGGACTTTGGGACACCTGTTCATGCAGGTTCAAGCGGTGAATACCATTGTACACACACTAGTGATTCCCAAGGACCTTCCACATGCCAGATGATTTTTATATAATAGCTCTCTGACTCCACACTACCTTGTGAGACTATCACTATTAGCTACCCATCTTGCAGATGAGAAAATAGAGGTTTCAGAATGTTTAAAGCAAAACTAACCTGTCCCAGGCCTCAGTACCAGTCAGTGAGTTGATGATGCAGGATTCCAAAACCCAGTTCAAACACTTGAGAGCTTTTCAGCAAGTGAGAGTAAAAAGAAGGGGGGGAAAAAGGTATTTTCTTCACAACGTGAAAAGGCTGACTGCTGCTTTGTCTTTTTAATCACCAATAACCTTTATCCTTATTATGTGCCTGGCACTGAGCTAAACTCAATGTGTATCATTATCTTACTCACTCTGCCCAGCAATGCTAAGAGGTAACTATTCTTACTATCCCCATTTTACATCTTAAAGGAAACTAAGATGCAAAGAGGTGAGTCAGTGGACTGGCAGGTGGCCTGGCACTCCTTAGCACCATGCCCCAGGAGGACGGCAGAGCAGCAGTCAGGGTCCTCTCTTCGCAGATGAAGAAACTGAGGCATGGAGAGAAGAATCACATCTTGATAAAATCAGAGCTCTGAGCCCAACTGCCAGATTCCCTGACTCCCCAAGCAGCTCCCCACCTTCTCCCTGAGGCGGCCTCCCAAGAAAACCTACCACCCACAGCATGAATACCATGGTGGCCAGTTTACATTTGGGGATTCGCAGCATCATGTGGCTAGGCTGTCCCATAAATGGCTTGGCCACCCACTCTGGGATTCTGTTAGCAAGCCAGGGCCATGACTGCCAGGATTCTCTCCTTTTTTACTCGGGGCTAGAGAGGGTGCTCCGGCACATGGGTTCTCCCTCTGGGTGAGCTGCTGAGGCTAACACCTCCATCTGTGAGTGTGAGTGGCTCAGGAATGCAGCTGAGGCAACTGTACCACAAGGCTCTGGCTGCAGATCCTGTCTAGAGCTGAGAGACATGC